GTTGAAGGCAAGTCCAAACCCAGTACTAAGATATCTGAGAAGCCTCTAAGAAATTTCATCAGCTCCTTTATAGAAACCAGGAAGACTACAATTCCCCTGTCTTACCTGCCAAGTACTGTGGCCTCCTGTGGCAGCCAGGGGAGTTGTTCTGCCCGGAGGAGCTGGCCTTTTATACCTCTGGCAAGAATTTAATTCTGGGAAAGGCCCCGCAGGAAAAACATGTGGGGCCGATGTGGCTTGGAGGAGACGCGCAGGTTCAGCAGGAAACACCCAGTGAGTCCAGGCAGAGGCATAAGGAAACTACCGGATGTCTGCGATTGGTTAACGCGATGTGGGTGAGCAACTCCCTGTCTAATTTTCCTGGTTCAACACAAACCTTACTCTCTTCATGGAAGGCAAGAGTCCAAGTCCAGAGCGCCGCTGTCCCTCCCATGCCTGTCATGGTCGGCATCTGAATGCTCCTAAAATTCCCAACCCTTCATGTCTTCACTGCCCTCAGATCCCTCTCTCAGCCTTTACCCAGCGATCCGAAGGCCAATGAACTCATCGTTTTCATGGAAAGCAATGAGAAAATAGTTACTTTTTGCCTCTCTGATTTCAAATCCTGTCTCTTTATTTTGGGCACCACAGAGGTGAGAAGAGCCTGGGACTTTCAGCAGAGTGGTGAGTCCTGGTCCTGCCTTGGTTACTAACGGACGAAGCAAACGGCCTCACCTTCTTCTGGGGACTCAGATTTTCCTAGTTGTCAAATCATTGGTTGGTTTAGATAATTATGATCATTTGGAGCCCGGGTGGCATAGTGGTTAAAAGTTTGGCTACTAACGGTAAGGGCAGCAGTTCAAAAACACCAGCCGCTTCATGGGAGAAAAACGGGGCTTTGGACTCCCATAAAGAGTTACAGCCTTGGGAGCTCCTGGGGGCCATTCTGCCCTGTGCTATAGGGTTTCCCTGTGCTATAGGGCTTCCCTGTGCTATAGGGTTTCCCTGTGCTATAGGGTCGCTAGGAGTCGGCATTGACTGGAGGGCAGTGAGATTGCTTGGTGATCTCACTGCCGTCCACAGGTGATCCAATGTGGGTGATCCAGGCCTTTTTTTCAAGAAAGGATTGACCTAAAGCCAAAGTATAATGTTCTAACTCAGGGATTTTGAAAAGTCCAAGTTCATTATAAGGAAGGAAACAAGATTCAGACGGGAAAAAAATTATGAAAAAGTATTTTGCAAGCCATTCAAAACGTAAGCCTCTTTAAGAATGTATAGCTGGGACTGGAAATGCTCCGAGAGACTGTCGGGAATTCAGCGATGAAAAACCGAGCTCTCTGGTTTATCTTAGACAAAGTGCTAAGTGAGTGAGGAGCTAGGCTATTCTGCATTTCCTGCATCTCCCTAGCCCAGCAGGACTTCCCTTTGTCTGACTTTTCCCTTAATTTCAGAGCAGGCATCTCAGATTTTTACTTCAGGATTTCAAACTTTATGCATGCATGAAGTTTTCTCTATTGACGGATCTCGGCCTCGTTAGTCCCAAATGATGTCAAGAGGGAACTTCCTTCTAGGACCCTCTGCGGTAACAACGGCTTCTTCTGTGCACCAGCCAATGAGCTCCTGGAATCAGGGTAACAACACCACGCAGGTGTGCATCCTGGGTCTCCATCAGGTGCTGATAGGATGCACATCCTGGATTTAACTTTACGAAACAGGCAGCGAGGGCTTCTGTGAAACTCAGCTGTATCCTTGCCCGTCCTTCCTTGACCTTGGCAGGAAGCCTGTCTGGAGGCAGCCACAGTGGACATGCCACTGTCTGGCAGTGAAACTGCATTTTCAGAGCCCTGCTCTGATGACGTCTCTTGATCCCGTCTCAGCCCAGGCAAATCTGCTCAGCACAGTTTGATGCCTCCCCGTTGGGGAGTGACAGATTGACTTGGGAAATGGAGGCGAGAGGACAGAACGTGCATGGAAGGCTAAAGAGGACAGCAGTGGCTTCTCCTATGTCAGCACAGAGATTCCAAGCACTTTTATCCACAGAAGCAGCAGCAGGGCGAGTTCTACCAGACTCCTTCCGTGCACACAGGTACCGGTAAGCGCGAACACTCCAGGAACTCACAGCGGGCCAGGGATGCTGGCCTGAGACGTGACTGGCCCCCCTCCATCTCTGGCCAGAAGTAGAATGCTACATGCTGCCATAGAACCTTGGGCTGATCCAAGTGACCACTCTGTAGGAGTTAATTGGATTTCTCACGAAGGGATATGGTCTCCTTGGAAACCTAGCCAGTCCCTTTCTTGATTGTTTTCAACCCCAGCCTCCTCCCAGCCCCCACCCCGCCTTGGCTGTCACCCCCAACTGGGGAGGTGATTGTTTGGTTTCACCTGGCCGGAACGCATTTCCTCTTGCCGCTGGCCCGGAACACCACACAAACAGACTGCTTGTTCTGAGGGCTCCAGAGACCAAGCTTTGCCGCCTTTGGAATTCCTCCACTCTGCCCCCTGCAGAGAAGGGAGGCACGGGGTGCTCTGGCCAATGGCACCCCTGTCCTCTTGAGGGGTGTGAAGAAGACAAAGCCTCTCTGAAAGGTGTCCCAAGGCGGCACAGACCATGGACAGGGGTGGGAACACTGACAGGCACCCCCCTTTGAGAGAGGGGGGATTGGGGTGTCTGGATGGTTAGTGTGTCTCCTTCAGCAGGCAGGAAGAGAATTCATTTGAATGTTTAGTAGCTTCTGAGTGAGACTTGCGTAAAGCTTCTGCATGGGGATTTGGGGTGGTGTGAATGGTGAATGTGCTGAAAGGGTAAGAGGTTTGAATCCACTTCGAGGTGCCTTGAAAGAAAGGCCAGGTGGGCTGCTGCTTCCAAGCTATCAGCCACGGAAAATCCTATGGGATTGTCATGAGCTGTAATCAACTGGTGGGACTTTATACCTTTCCGAGTGTCACCGAGTGTCACTGAGTGGTCTCTAATTGGCCATGGCATCTCGGAACCTGATGGGCGGTGCCTTGTTCAGGGCCTCCCAGGAGACCGGCCTGGTGGGTGGACAGAGTGCTACCCCTTCCTTCTTCTCATGAAATGAAACTCCCTTTCAGTTTCCCATCTCCCCATCAGTTTCCGCCCTTTCTGCTTCGCCTTTCTTCTCCCTCCTTAAACACTCCATGAGCCTCTAGTTCTATTCTTTTGACATTTCCGCTTCTTGTTCCCAATCGTCTCTCATCCCATCAGTTTCCCAATAATGAGTCTTGATAGGTTTGCTTCAAACAAAGTCGT